TAATCACTCTGTACACAGTGACCCAGAGGAAAAAATTCACACCGTGGACGGCGGCAAACGTCAAAACGTGATAAATCATATTATTATACAGTCGGTCGACACCTTGACCTTGGTCATCGTCTGATATATTATATAAATAATAATAATATTATTACGAGATCAGTACGCGCCGAAGACGGACGTATACGTCAATCTCTGCAGAGTGTCACTATATATATATATATATAATATAAAATGGTATATTAATATATTATATTCTATATATATATATATATACTTTGACCACGTGCAGCGTAGTTATTACGTCATACAATTATATTCTGCAATTAATTAATTAATGTTTGTATAATATTATATTGAATATATGCTCGGTGTAAGAGCGTTTTGCAATCATCTACGAAGAAAACAGCGCAATAATAATAACAATAATACACTGCATATAGTATATTACTATGTAGGTATAATATATTATACACATATATAGACCATTTATATACGCGGTCACTATGCAGCGGTGATGATGCAACAAGACGACGTTGGAAATTTGATTCAAACCTCCCATAATTCAAACAGTCGTCGACCCCTGCCAACCCGATTGTTAAACTCGATAATTCGGTAAGACCGCCAAATTCGTCGTGCGTGTATTATGTAGAACCCTTTACTTGCGCTCACTCTGCACGTTACACATTATATATTATGTACACTGTTACGATATACGTCGACGGTGACGAGTCCGACGAGGAGCATATATTATGTTATTATTACCTCGGTGTGTATACCTATACACATATACGATATTATTATCGCGGTGTAAAATAAAATTTGAAATAAAAAAAAAAAAATAAGAAAAAACGCTGAAAATCTTTACAACTCCGCCCAACGATTATCCACGTATAATCAAATCGCGGTCGCATCTCCTACAGTGATTTCGATACTATATTAAACTATACGCATCATGTGCAACACGTTCGACGATGCACAATATATAGGTATATTATATATTATAATACACGATCTATACACGGACTGTGGTATTATGTAATTAAATTCACAGTGGAAGATGCGGCTGCATATAATATATTATATTATAATATGTTGAATGCATTTTGTTGAAACATTACAGTATAGATCATGATACTCGTCCAGAGCGAATAAAGCAACATATTATCATCCAAAAGATTGAATATTTTATAGTTGTTCTTATTTTATAAACGAAACACACGAATACTACGATATTTTGTTACGACGTATACTGGTGATTAAGAAAATTGGAAACGGTCGATATTATTTCGATGCGGAACGACCGGTGTGAATTTACAATAGAATTTTTCGTATCAATACGAGACTATGTTGGTTTTTTTTCCACGTGAAATCTTAAAAGCACATCGTTTATTACAATGAATAGTGATGGTTTATAATATTATTATTGATATGATCTCCCCTTTTTAATATCACTTATCGCATCAACGGATGACCGCGATCCGTTTGAAAATAGTGTGAATAGCGAATATTACCTATACATTGTCTGCAGTTTAAAGATACTTTCGAACATAATATTATTATAAAAATATGATACTATATTGTTTTGTTAACAACATATTATAAACATTTCTACCAATCTTGTGTACCAACTAAGCATGTTACTTTTTTCAAGTACAGCATAAAAAGATTTTACTATTTAAGTAACCACTTTCATGCCAAATAGGTAATAAAATTGGTATGATAAAGTTTAAAACTTAAAATTGTACGATTTTATTATAGTTACAATGAAAGTGCAAATAATACATTACTAAGTAGTAAAATCAATTATTAGAATTATTATGGAGATATATTATAGGGCTAACACTTATATAGTGCTTATCTGGAATCCAAATACTGGGCGTAATAGATTCTGAATTGAAATAGGGACCTTGAGAGAAATTGAGAACATTAGAAATGGACATTGTTGAATGATAAAATATAATAAACGATACATCATATCTGTCGATAATATAGTGTTACAACCAAATTAACGCAGTTTAAGTTATCAGTTACTAATGGACAATGGTGCAATAGCATAGCAATGAGAATAAAAACACTAACAGAAGCACTTACACTACGGTGTGTTCCTGTAGGTATCTTAAATAATTTTAAGTTTTTGAAAAAAATTATGATAAACTGATAAGATATACTATATATATATTGCATTTGAGAACGAGTTAAATATGATGTAATCGTAGGTAAATCAAATAACTATTTTCCAGATCCCGTCAATTAATATATAGGTAAATTTTAAATGTCTTTAAATTATATACCGATAACGACTGTAGTACCTACCTAATATATTTAATAATTTAATGAATACACTTGAGTTAAAGTTATAAATGGTCATAGACATTTTAACTAAGTTACAATAGTCAAAATAATAATATAGAAATATCATAATGGTACTATAGGTGGTAAATCTTAAATATAAAAATAATAATTTTAATTCAGATAAATCATTTATGTCTTGTTAATTTTTGTAATTATTATATTGTTGATATCTGTTGTCTGATGAGCACTATTAATGGATATTTCTTTGGAACTTGCACTTAAGAAGTTATTTTAATTACTATACTTGCAGTATTCAAGTTACTTAGTGTATTATAATTATATTATCATTATATCAAGTATTATAGACTGTATAATCAAATAAAATAATCTAAATTAAAATAAAATTGTAAGTTCTACATTTTCCAAATAACCAACCTTTAAATACCAAGTTACTTAAATGTAATATATTATATTATATTGTATAGTACCTATCTGCTCAATATATAGTAAGCAGGTAGTACCTATACTCTGGTATTTTCTAATTTAATACCCGCCACCACGGTTACCTCCGTGCGTGGCAGGTACTCACAACTATTCGTGTCTAATCTCCATGCTCATAATGCGCCGACTACGTTACCGCATTTTAATTTCTCATTTAATAACCAAACGTAACTACGAACTATAGCACTATATTGAACACATCGAGGTTAAAATATCAGTCATGAGAATAATACGTAACTCGTGATAATTATTTATGATTTTCCGCACGAAAGGCTCCCGATGTTTTCGTTTACAGTTTACCACAAATTAAAAATACAATGATTTATGAACAGTTTACGAAACATCAAACAGTTAAAAGCATACATAAGATATACCTACCAAATAAGACTGGACAGTTCTATTAGAATATCATACACGTCGTGATTCCGTGGTATTGAAATCAATTATAACTTAACAGGATTTGCTAGATTTGGAATAAAACCTAAGGTTAACATTTAATATAAGACAGCCAATAGGTAGGTACGTATAATCTTGTTATAACTTATAGTAATATAAAGTCTATTAATTTAATTCAAGTTGATCAAACTCATGCGCGAAATCGCTAAGGAAGTAAAATTGCTTATATTCTCTTGCATAGTTGCATAACACTCGCAATACCGATAATTATATAATTAAATTAAGACATAATAAAAATATATGTTCTCTGACTCAAGCTCATATTGCTTACTGGAAGTAGATAAACTAGTTACGTTGTAGTTAACTTTTGTTCACAAGTATATTATACCTAATATAACATAAAAATAAAAAAAAAAAAACAAAAATAATAATTATAACAGACCCAGCAAAGTCAATAATATAAAAGATTATTATGAAAATGTATTTTGTGTGTTTATGATTGTACTTACATATTATTATTTCTTATAAAATATGTTCCTACAGAAAATGGCGAATATATGAGTATCGGAGTAAAGCATATTTTATAAAATAATAACCTTGATATATTAGGTCTACCTATATTTCGTGGTTTTTTGAAATGTAATACAAGCCTTTATGTATTATATTTGAACAAAACGGAATGATCAGATTTAATCAGAGGCAAAAATATCAAATTTTATCGTGTTGGTCTAAAAAATTATAGAAACTAGGTATTAAAAAATCATATCGTGTGACAGTTTTTGCATAATATTATTGTATGTGAATCTCGCGGTCACACGTATAATTATACGTATACCTCTACCTATTATATTATTTTCACCTAACCAAACAATATCATGTTTATTGCCGTGTATAGGATTCTATACTGTCGTCGGATGCAGATGACCGGGAAACACACGGTTGTCCACTTTTTATAGGCTCTATAATGCTCTATTATAATATGTTTCGTTTTGGGGTTTATTGCCTGGTGTACCGCTATAGTTTGCCGAATAACGGTTTAAAAAAAAAAACCACGCGAAAGTTGTATACCTATATGAAAAATAATTCACAAATAAATATGACACAGTCAATTGGGCTGTTAAACGCAAAGAGCGTATATAATAATATAATAACTAAACGCAGATAAAATAGTTTATTTTTATTTTATTTGGTAAAATGCATCACCAGCCAGGTCCACACATATATAGTGATTTTGTACATCAAAAACAATACTATATATACCAGCAATGAACTTATACTATATTATGTAGCCTCGTTGGAATATACATACGTATATAATGTATATAGGTAGGTATTATGTATGTATTACTTTTTTTTTTTATAGCGTTATCCGTCGGAGAAACTGGTTTTTAGTGGACTAATCCAAATTTTTATTGCTCGCCTCATTATTTTATTTATCTATAATTGTGAGAAGTTGACCCCTATATACCTATATATATAACACTAAACTACATTTACATATTATAGGTTTACATAGTATAATGGGAAAAAAAAGCACATAATACAATTTATATACATATATATAAGTATATACAATTCGTGTACGCGTAGTATTTGTTTTAAACATATGTTGGGTAGGTACTTGTGTGTGTGTGTGTGTATGTGTGTGTGTGTCAGTGTGTGTGTGTGTATACAAGTTGGATTAGTATTAAACGAATATTACGTGTTTGAAAAATCGTAAAAATTTTAGTCCACGCACGCGATGAATGTATTAATAATTTCCTTCTTTTTGGAAATGTTTTCAGATATCGGCGAAACCTAATAGCAAAATGAACGATCATGTGGCTCGGCTGCGGGTGGTGCAAGAGGTGTCATCTCGAAACAGTTCAGCCAGCTGGAATAGTTCGTGTACGTTTTCGACCGAGCAGAGTTTTCAAGTGAGTCAATACTTTATAGTCATCGAATAAATCCTTGATAATATACCGACAGTCACACGAATCGAAACCAGGGAGATTTAATATGGTCTAAATCACAATATATTGTATTTTTTATGGTATTACAATACCCACCATTATTATGATTTATGAGTTTACAGTATCGTACACGAGGGATAGACATATTGTATGCAACACGCATGGCATAGTTACATAATGCGTGCATTATTGTTAAAATAATCTTATTATCCTATTCGCCTATACAAAACGATAGACACGCAAATCGAGTTGGACCAAAAGCTGATGACTATAACTTGTAAGACATTCGAAATTACTAAATACCTAGTCAGTGTATTACCGATTTTTTTTTATTATTTAAAAATTAAGGCTAGAAGTATTTTGTGAACACTCCTCCACCATATGTTTGGGTTTTCATGATTTGTGGCATGTGTCGCTGCATATTGGTTGAGGCTCTTTATTGATTAAATATGAGGGTGTGAGGAAGGAGTGTCCGATTCTGATGAGGGTAGTTGTAACGGTAAAGATTAGTAGGGGCGTGCCATTTTAAAAAAAAATATTTATGCGTTTGTTAGATGTTGGTATTGAATTCCAGTGATTTTGACTGGTTGAAAGGATTTTTTTTATTAGTAAAATGTGTCATGTCGTTAGTGGGTATATTATTTATTGAAGAATTTGGAATATTTTTCGTTACACGATTGGCATATTTGTCTGATTTTTCATTTCCTGGGATATCAATGTGGGATGGTACCCGCATACAAATTCGATGTTTTTTTTTTTGTTCGGATTGACTTTGCTTGAATGTTTCGGGTTATTTCATTTTTTTTAGGAAAACTTTCTAAGTACTTATAAGGGAGTCACTTCAAATTTAGATGCAAGTGCTTTCGAAGTATAAAATCCCAACCGTGGCAAGATAAAAATTACTTATAATCTAATATATTTAGTTAGGTATAAAAATATTGATATTAAAGTACATGCAATTAAAAATTCTCAGGAGGCACCCGGGCACTCATTCCCCCTTGAGGGCACTCTTGTTTAGATGAATCTGTATATATTTTGGTGTAGTTAGAGAATATGTGCTATATTGTGTTTTCAAACTGAGAGGTAATTATGGAATTATTTGTTTCGTTTATATTGAAGTTTAGAAGTTCGGTATTAAGTTTAAGTTTCTATTCTTGAGGAGGTAAATCTTAGAACGTAATTATTCTATAGGTATAGGTATAAGTGTTGATTTATTTCGGTCTTATGAATAAAAACGATAAATTGACTTTTGGTTGGTGAAAATTTAAAAGCAGTTTAATTGGATCAGTTTTGAAGAGTATGCATTGATGATTGTCTGATTAAAATGTGGTTTCTATATTATTTTCACTACAATAGATATATCAATCACCAGCAAATATAATAATATGTCTTGTGGAATTATGTATTTTTCAGAAGATATCGTTTATTGCTATTTGCTTCTATGAACATTGTGACACTGATCCTTGTGGGATACCATTTTCAGTTGGGTTGTCATTACCGAGTTTATAGGGACACTCCCGATGAAACATTTGATATAGGTACACCCACACTGAGGGGCGTCGGAACATAAATTATGATTAAGTATATAACGAAACACGTTTATCAACGACGACCAACTTGGGGGTTCGATTTCAAACGATCCTGCGCAGTAACCAAAAACGGCATTCAGTTTCTTATCGCCGACCAAGACTGACACTTGTTCTCGACACTCGTGTAACCAGTAACGACAGTACGACCCTTAGTAAGACGTTCCACCACATGTTATATTTATTTCGAATTTATAAGGACCATCGTTTGAAATTAATTTTACAATGAAATTAGTATAATCGCTTATTGAAATTTACCTTATATATGTGTCACAAATCAAAATTACGTTTACTTCTGTAAAGTAAACCATGATTACGTTTGTACAGTGTATACCTAATACTGTTGCTGACTTTTGTAAACAACGATTTTTGTCAATGTTTGTCGGTAAATATAATAATATTATGATCGATAGAGACATGGTTTGCAATACTTAACGTCTTAATGCGCAATTTCGTAAAATCGAGGTATAATATAATGTAATAATATGACTCGCGCGTAAACAATGGGAAATAAAAATAAAAAGTGAAACAGGTATCCTGCTCAGTCGTTTGATAAAAATCTGCGTGTGGGCGGCGCTCGAAAAGATGTTAACCCGACCTGGGGCCTCATGTTTTTGACATTGAAATCGGACAATGTAATTTAGGAAATATGAAATGACCGCGCTACTCTTTTGGTCTAATCGCCTATATACACACACACATTTATATATATTATGATTATTACACTGGCAGTGTAATATCAAAACCGCCCACAGGGATCTGGTGGGTGTTTTCGTATTTTTAATGGGTTTTTTTTCACCGCTTTTGTGCCGAGGTGAACCGCCGCCACCTTACATATTATTAAAGTACCCATATAATATTATGTATAATATGTAATCGTGTGTGTATATATATTTAAAGAAAAAGAAACGTTGGTTATCAATGACACAATGTGTCCCCTCGCGGAAGGCCCGCGTGTTTTATTTGCTTGTAAAATTATTTGCAACCACGCACGACCGTGCACATTATTATAATATTGTCCATAGGGTACATTATTATATTTTATACCGTGGTATGAGAAATCAAAGAGCACACACCGACACGCATATATTATATACACATACACCTATACAATATACATTCAATATAAACATTTAACGGTCCTCGAGTCGCGAGTCTAGAATAATGTGTCATCATTAATATTGCACATTCATCTGAAGATACAGTACCCATATTTTTTATTTTTTTTTCAACACGATCGAAATAATTAAAACCCATATGGTATAATATATTATACACATATTATACTAAAAAATAACATTTATTATTATTTTTTTTTATCGAATTCGAGTATATTATGCGGCGCACAGTGGTTTGAGTCGTAGCGAGATTTATAGCCAACGCATTTAAAAGACGATGTTACGTAATATATAATATTATAAAATATACGCTTTTGGCGTTTCGTCAATATAGGTTGGGATTTTTTTTTACAAGTTTTGCTCCATCTCTTCTCTCGGTGTTCAGCAGAGTATTTAAAAAAAACAACTAATTTAATATCGTTCTAAAGTAAAAAGAAGTGTATATCGAGCCAACGGTCATAAAACATTGTACGATGTACGTAGGCGTTTGAAGTGGATGTTTCGTCTCGTGAGCGATCGTCGCCGTAATAAAAACACTTGCACCCTTTTTATACACACTCACATCTAACTATATTTTATGCACGCGCGGTCCAAGTCATATCAACCGTATTATATATAGGTATATAGTGGTACATATTATTATGGTCGTTTACAAATCGCACACAATGGAATGAAATATAAACAAGTATCAACCAAACACCGGGCGGTTACAACCATATTATAATAATATACACCACGCGGAATAAAATATAATATTATATGCGACACGTTGATTCGACGATACGTACCTGTTGCTGCAGCTGTAGGTGATACTTGGATATACATAATAACATACCAGTATAGCACCAGTGCTCGGTATTCCATTGAGCCTTTCACTGTCACTGTTCCCGTGTAGTGTAATAGTAATAATAATAATAATAATATATAATGTCGGTTGGTAAGGAAAAAAAAAACAATATTTCCTCGCGTTCGTGTGATTCCAACGAATCCGATGTGGTACCTATATATAACATATACAATGTGAGTACCTATATATTGTGTAGGTATGCGCGCACAAGAAACACACTTAACGAAGATTGATGGCCCACTAATAGATAGGGTATTGTATGCATATACAGCATACAGGTATATATATATATATGAAGATAGGTACCTGTACGATGTCGGATTTAATACCGTCCCTCTGTAGTCCATACGAAGTCGCATCGTACACGCGCATATACATGTATAAACGTGCAGGACAAATACGACAACGTCGACCGTAGACGCATAGAGGGTTGAGATTACATTATATTAGTACACATTTGTACGGTGTATTTGATCATTACCAAGTGCATCACGTATTTATACTATTGTCTGTTGGGACGAAATCAGAGAGACAGTGCAGGTGGAAATATAGAGAGAAACAAACACACACACACAAAATATATGCTTACCCGAAGACCGTGCATGATGGTGCTGCACAGACATATTATATTATATTATTGTATATTATTATGTAATGTATAATAATATAATATACGTACGATAACCTGCATCGTACGTATTGGTATGGTGTATGGGCACTGGTAATTTACGACGGAACTCGATTGATACGTCGTACACGTATTGTTCAAGAATATTGATAACGATGATGTTATATGCGTATATGACTGGATTTTCAAATTCGAAACGTACAGTATAAAGCTGTCGACGTTTTTTTTTTATTTTTTCATATGTATAATAATATGACGTCCTTTAATTTATCCGTAGAGATAATATTACGTGTCGGTATATCCCGGTGTATAACAGCATATATATAGTCGGTACCTATAATATATAGTATAGGTATAGCACAGGTACTATAATACAGCTGCAGTATAATAGAAGAATATTATAATGTCGCCGTTATTTATATTTTATACAATCCTGCAGCAGTGGCACACCGTCGAGATTCGACCGCTGCCCCCGGTGACACCATAATTTTGTTTTCAAATAAACATGTAATAATATAATATGTAAATCGACAAATATTTTCCGTTGAAGGTTTTATTGCTGCACGTTACACGTATAAGTAGCGGTAGTTTTCAAAAAAGGACACGAATAATAGACTACGGAATTATATTATACACGTGTGTATATGTATAGGTATACACATAAAATATAATGTCGTCTTGGAGGATAATCGTTAATACGGATCACGACTCCAGTGGAGTTTTTTTTTATCCGAACGCATGATTGATGATAATTTTATGATAAGGTATTTACAGTTCGTGAGCTC